TCAAAACAAAAAATAAACGAAATTTAAATTCAATTCCCAAGAGATTTCTTATTTTTAATACTAAAAAATGTATATAAAATTTAAGAAAGCATAAATAAATAAATGCTGAGAAAAATAGCTTATTCCAGTCGATTTAAAAGCACTTTCGGTGTGCAGTAAAATAAATCCAAAATGTTGAACAATTTCTCTGCGTAATATTTTCCGGCTTTTGAGTGATGTGCCTGCCATTTTTATCCGGTGACCAAAGAGTCCAAAAGTTCCCAGTGAGAAATGAAATTGGAGTCTGCAGCTTGTCCACTAAGCTGGCAACTGCCAACTGCACTTTTGAGGCAAATAAAAATGGCTGGAGCATAAACCGAAATGAGAGCTGGCTGAAATGCTTTTCAGGACGGCTATGAAAGCTTTTATCGTGCAATTTATTGCCAGCTATTAGTATATATGTCAAAATTTGTTTGCTCTAATTGAAAATGAATTGCTTTTTAGGTAACCCGAGTGTTCTCCATGTTCTAAGCCCGTTTCAATAGGTGGTTCCTTTCATCACGGCATTTCCATTCCCCGCCGCCATCTTCCTTTTTGAGGAATTTCCTGTGAAAATCCTTCGGGATTTTGGGGCGCTTAGGTGCGAAATGTTGGCAAAGAGCTCGCCATGAATTATAAAACACCGACTTTGCCTAATAATTTTGGCCTTGGGAAAAGGTAAAGTGAATCCGGATTTTACTCTTTTTCGGCATCACCTTTGGGAAGCAAGGGAAATTGCCACAAAATTGTTAATCAAATAGTTGTCGAAATTCGACACTAAATTGTTTTTCGTATAGTTGTGGTTATCCTCTTTTTTGGGAAACCCTCAAAAGTATTTCGTTTCAGACGAAAGCATTGAAATAAAAAAGCTCTCAACGAAACAATCAATCAATTCCTAATGACAGCTCCAAATGGACATTTAATACCTTGTCTCATCCCGATTCCAGACTTATTAAATATTAAAGCCCCGACTTTGATGGCTGACAGCCGAGAAAATTTTTGGAAAATTCGATTTCGTTTTGGCCGGCATTTGCCTCTCGTTGGGTCAAGAACCTCGGACTTGAAGCAACAGAACGCAAATTACAGGATTGAAACAAAGGGCAAAAAGCCGTAAAGCTAAATGAAGCAGGGCTAATACTCTAGAGTGGACCCAAGGAGGTTATAAAAATAAAAAAGGGGAATAAAAACAATACAAAAATATTTGTAACTTTTATTCAAAAATAATATCAAAATGATGTATGCCCCTTATTTTATTGAAATACTATTTAATTTGATTTTAACTTGACAATGTGCTAAGCTAAAATATGGAAAATTATAATTATGATAGAACTTTAAAATATATGTACAATACCTATATTTTAACTATTCTATTCTTGGGAAACAAATAGTTCGAGCTAACATATTATATTAAAAATCATATTTAAATTTTATATTTACTTGTCGTTCCTTAAGAAATTGAAGCCTTCAGACCTTAAATTATAGTAATAATAGCGGTATCTTTTCCTCCTTGGCATATACTTTGTTTTTGGGTTCATAAAGTCTAATACTGTATTTATAACTACCTCCTTATTATTATTGTTATTAGTTCAGGCTGAGGTTCACTCTAATGTATGGAAATGTAGTAAGTGAAGGCGGTGCGTCATATCCGTTTTTGGCCCAAAATGTTACTTTTTACGGTTTGCGTGAAGAAAAGCTCGGGTGAATTGGGGAGCCGGGTAATATGCTCACATGTGGAAGGAGCGAACGAACAATTGTGTGACTTATTACTCGGCATTATCCTGTGTAGCTTAGTTCCTCGCGGAGCTCAAGTACCCGTCACCATTTCGGCATCGATTTTGTGCCCTTGGTGTCCCCAGGCCTCCGCCTCGGTTAATGGAATTCCATGGGCGACGGCAGAGGCAGACATGAAAACAATACCAAATACTGGTATTGTTCTTATTTCCAGCTGGGGTTGTCTGTCTGTGTCCCGAGTATCCTGTTCGTGTATCACCATGTTGCCCATGGTTACGCAGGACACCAACAACAGAAAGCCAACAAAGTTATGGGTTAGCGGGCGTCCTGGCCGAGGACTTTATTAATCCTTTGTGTATATTTAGCGACCACTTTATGAGTTGACGGCCATATATCTTCCTGTTGATTCATGTCAAGTGTAAATTGGCCCAAGAGCTTACATTCTTTCCTTTTTGAATGGCAGAAATAAATTTGTGTTTGCTTTAGCTTAAGAAAATGACCCAAAGCGATTGTTCAAAGAGATTAATGGTGTATGCAAACACTTTTAAAGAAAAAGGGGTTTTCTCTCGGAAAAGGAAATATATTTTGAAATATTATTATTGAAAAGATTAAAGCAAGCTCCTTAGAAATCCAATCAGAAAGTGTTTTATTTCCTAAGAATTTGCAAGACATTTTAATAGGAAAATTCAATTCCGATTAAAAGAGACTACAAAACAAATCCTACACCTTTGAGGTTTTATTTTCAAATTCCAATCAAGAAATGTGTTGTTTATTAAGAACTGGAGAGATATTTTACGATGAAAATCTAGTTCCAATTAAAGTTGGATATGAATTTGATTCACCACCTTTGGGGTTTTTTTTCGATTAGGAAAATTTCGTTCAAACAATTGCTTTTCGATGGCAAATCACCTGGCATTTTGCTTTCATGATGTCCTTCCATTAAAGAGCCTCGCCAAGCTGTGAATAGCTTTTCAATGTTTTATAAGCCATAACGGCACGAAATCGAAATCGAATCGAACCAACTCGAAGGAGCCAGAACTCCCAGTACTTGGCAACCAAAGTGATTCGATTTATGTTCCATTGGGTGAAAGGGGTGTTTCTAAGGGGTTGGGAGGGAGTTACTCCAACCACCCAACATAATTAGGGCCAATGACAATCCTATCGAGCTGCAGCAACTGCACCACCGGAGCTTCGTTTCGATTTATTTGGACGCCGTTTCCAGGACAACGGACGACCACCTGGCCACCACGAAGAATCGGGCACAACAAAGCCATTTGGAAAAGGCGTTAGGCCACTTGGGTGTTTTTCCTTTTTTCTTGATTTTCTTTTTCGATGGGCGGCACATTTAGTGCGGTCAGATTTGGGGGCAAAAAGTGAACAATTCCGGGGAATGTCGGCTGTTGCTGATTGCTCTGGGCTGCCCAATTGTTCCAAGAAAGAAGGGTTTTTTCTGTTGTTGTTTCCACCAGAGTTTCACGATTCGTCTGGTAAGAAAAACAGAGGAGCAAAAAAGGCATTGCTAACTTGCCTTGACTCATGACCATGGTCAAATGGAAAAAGTTTTAAAAGATTTTTTTTGAAAGCCTAACTTTAATATTAGTAGCTTTTAAATTGTTCGCGGACTGACTTTTGATACAACTTTTGCGCTCACTGCTAGAATCTTTTATTGTGAACACAAAGTATTATTTTTAATATTATTTAATAGGAGGGTGATCTGCCGAGGGGATTAATAATTTTGTGGCGTTTTGTCGTTATCGTTATCTTTCCCATGTCAATAAATAATATTATATGTATAGCGTTAAATACAGCTCGTATCTTATCGTTTAGTTCCCGTCGCTCTTGCAAAAATATTATTTCAATCAGTTGATGACGAACTATTGGCGAGGAAGTTTGCTTAGAAAAGAGGTTTAACCATCAAAGTCCGAAATGCATTGTATAAAGGCCTATTTAGCCCTCGTGGCCTTTGGTTTCTGTATAACCGCAGGGGTATCCGATCCTCTAACCTCCGTACAGCTTAAAGGGGTAAGTTAGACAAAGCTTGTAAACACATTCTACAGTTATCCATCCAACTAGGAAATCGAGACCACATCGGATGCCCTTGCCTCTATTGATAAGCTTTTGCTTGAGTATGTATAAAAATAAGAAAAATCGCTGATTTTAATCGCAATCTTTCGTTCAGCTTGGAGGCTCGACGAGAGTCCTTGTGGCAGATGAAGGAAACCATCAGCAATGTCACCTACCCCTCTTCCTGTCTGACCAGGGACAACGTTAACCACACAGATCTCATAGTTCAGGTGCCGGGACAAAAGCCTTTCGCAGTAGTCTGCGATTCCTATCTGGCCGGACTGGGCTGGTTGGTCATCCAGAGGCGTCGCGATGGACTGGTAAACTTTTATCGCGACTGGAGTGATTATAAGGAGGGTTTCGGCGATCCGAAGGGCGATTTCTTCATCGGCCTGGAGAAACTAAATTGGCTAACAGCCTATCAGCCCTTCGAACTCTACATCCACCTGGAGGAATTCGGACAAAAGACAAATGTATTCGCCAAATATGACGAGTTTCTCGTTGGCGGGGAGTCCGAACACTATGCCCTGAAATACCTCGGTTCGTACTCGGGAACCGCTGGAGATTCCCTGAGCGACAGTAAAGGTCAACAGTTCTCCACATTCGATGTGAATAATTATGGCTCCTTCAACAAAGTGTGTGCCCAGTTTCATCTCGGAGCCTGGTGGTACAAGGATTGTGGGGAGAGGTACGTGTGGTGAAATACAATCGCTCTCTTTATAAAAACTACTGTCATAACTAATTCAAGGGTTGATACAGGGTTATCAAAACTGTCTAAGGCTTATATTTTCTATTTATTATTTATGACAATAATACTGTAAGGGAGCGATTGAATTTATTGCAGGAACTCAGTAACTTATGTGATATATTTCTAGTAATCTAAATGGTCAATACTTTGATTATTATCGCGATCTGCCCAATGATAAAGCCCGTTTCATCAGCTGGAATTCGTTCAACAATACTGCGCCTTTCAAGTTCGTTCAAATGATGATTCGGCCCAAGTTTGGGGGCTATTAAGAAGTCAAGGGAGGATATCTATAATCCTTTTACTTCACCGATTATTAATAAAAAATATATTTTTTTTATTTAAAGGTAATGTCAGAAATAAAAACAACATTGCATTTAAAATACTTTCACTTTATTTTGTCAATTTGGTTACCAAACTTTTTTTTATTCAGGACCTTTACCTGTTGTTCCATTTTCTGATTGCGACTGTTAATTGCGGACATTTTTGCAACTGTGGCTGTGGATTCCTGAAGATACTTTTGGTTTTATGCTGGTTTTCACTGAATTAAACGCTTCCGAAGATCCAATGAAGAGGCATTTGGCAAATTTTGGTTTGACAGCTGTTTTAGATTTTTGTTTTTAGAAATGCGAATGAATGCAGCAAAACAAAAACCGAGGGGGTAACAAAAACCAGAAGAATCGACCGAGTCCAAGGCACTCACACTCGCACTCACAATATATTGCACACCTGGCGTGTATGGCGTTTGTGTTTTGTAGTTTATTGTATTGTAGGTTTGTAGTTTGTTCTACTGTAGCACACGCGACACAAAAATAAAATCAAGGGGTGTTCGAAGGGACGAGAGGGAAGTTGAAGACTGAAGCCGACAGCCGGCTCTTCCTGTTCTCCGCTCTCTTTTTCTCTTCCAACACGATCGTTTGATTTCCTTCCGATCACTGAATGTTTGATTTGGTTTTTTTCCGAAGGGCAAACACAAATATATTTTTATAAATAATATTTTATGCAATCTTTATTTTGGCAAACACAATTTCGTGCTCGCCGAGTTACGTGTGATATTATTTGCCAACTGAGTGTTTTTGGCGCCTCTTTTTTGGTAGAGGAATGAAGGCGAAGTATCCCGTCGACCGAACCGCACGCCGTCAAAACAACAACTGGCGATTACTAGAGACCCTCCTCGGTAGGAATGGAATGGAAATGGAACTTACACACGAGTGCCAAGCCGAACGCAGTAATCCTGTCGGGTGTCAGCAGGAGAGAGAGAGAGTCTCTCTCACACCGGCTCGCTCTTCGCTCAGCATGCTTCCTCTTCCACATCCTGAGGCCGACGAACCGACAGATGTGCAGCTGCCGAGTGCATTTGGATTTCAGCCCCTCCGCCTCCTTCTTTTCAGCAGGATTACCGAATGCATTCCAAAGCAGAGCAATTCTCACATATCCATTTGGTAATTGCATTCCGGATTTCGGACAATCCGCTGGTTAGCAGAAAATCAGCAAACTAATTAAAATAATTAATTTGATTAGAAAATGAAATAAACTTGGTTAAATAAACCTTGCGATTCTTGGCTCTAATTTAATTTAATTTAATATACAATTTATTTATCGTCTCTATACCAAATCTTTAAATTATGGGGATTGATATGTGATATTTGATAACTCATTAGAATATCAATCTTAAAGTATTTTACTGTAGAAATTGTACAACCAATTTTGGGTTAGAACTTTAATACATACGAACGAACGGCATTTAAATATTCAAAGAATGTGAATAGCGGTTATCCCATTGTTAGATAAAAAGTTCAAACAGCTATTGATATATTATTAAGCGATTAATTTTGTTAGATTTATTTATTGGAAACTAATACCCGACCCCTTTCCTTATAAAGAAAACATATTCGATAGCGTTTGTCAACTCGCGTGTTTTATTTCATTAACATTAGTCTTAGCCTACGATAATGATAAGTAAAATTAAATAACAAATAAATGAAAATAGATTTTCTCACAGAACGGCGTTCTGGTAAATTCGAATTGAAAGTGCCTTGTCATTTATGAGGTGCCTTACTAGTTAGCGTTGTCAGTTTTAGGTTTTTTTCGGGGGCTCTTCCCTATCGAAGGATTCTAGAAAAACCTGTGCTTTTTCTTCTTCTTGCCCTCCACCTCCGCCGGCGGCTGGGTATCCACGGAAACCTGGCGTCTGGGCAGCAGGGGTGGTGGACTCACATTGCCATCCCCTCCATAACTGCCTCCATTGCTGTCCACCGGCGACAGGGGACGCGGTGCCCGCAGGATGGAGGTCAGCGGTGGCAGGCTGCCCTCCTGGCCCTGGTCCTCCTCGATCCTGTCCAGCCGCGAGCCATGAACGGAGGCCAACTCCGAGGGCGTCTTCAGCTGCGAGCCGCCCTCGTCGCCAAACTCACTGGCCATATTCATGCCGATGGTGGCCCCCACCTTGGCACTGGCCGTCTTGAAGTGGTCGCTCAGCTTGATCTGCACCACATTGATGAACATGGAGGTCAGGGCCAGGCCGAAGATCAGGTAGATCATGCTGGCCATCACGTAGAAGGGATTGCCAGGCACCATGTCGCCGAAGCCGATGGTGGACATCGAGATGAAGACGTAGTAGAAGGAGTCCAGGACCTCCCAGTCGGGCTCCACCAGCTTGAAGCCGAAGGTGCCCAGCAGGATGTAGGAGATGAGCAGGAGCGAGGCCACCGAAACGGGCAGATTGAACTCGTCGTCCACCTCAAAGGTCTCCGGATACGGCGATGTGGGCGTCTCCGGGTGCGAGGTGCCCAGCGATCTGGCCGCCTCGGCATCCGCCTGCGACTCCTCATCGTTTTCCACGGCGGATTTGCCAAAGAACATGCTGGGTCGACGGATGGCCATGTCGTAGACCGTGTTGAAGCCGGTCATTGCGTCTCGGATCTGCTGCTGCTTGCGGATCCTTCGACAGGAGCGGGTGTAGTAAACGCGTCGCACATATGCCCACACGAACTTGACGCAGCGCGTGAAGAGCTTTCCCAGATCGGCCAGGACGATCAGGAACATGGGGATGCCGATGATGGCGTAGACGATGGTCAGGGATCGGCCCCAGGCCGTCTTCGGAGTGATGTGGCCGTATCCTGCGGGGAAAAGAAGAAGGGAGATAGGTTTTAAAGGGGAGTTCTAGAGTAGAGGATTCAGAAAATAATGATAAAATATTTTGGGTAAACCATTGCATTAAAAACTTACAAACTTAATATACGACTATTTTCTTAAAATATATAAAGTAAATAAATAAAGTAAATTTAAGAAATTAAAGATTTTTCTCTAATATCTAAACACTTTTTTTCTAAATTATACTAATTGTTGTGGAATATTTTCTTGAGGCTAATGGATATAAATTTTCAGCAATATCTTGGGAGAAGTAAGAACCATAACAAATAAATGGGACAATATATTGTCTGTGTAACTTTCATGAAAGCAAATTAATTTTGGAAATTTTTGGTATACATAGAAAAGATTATCCACCATTAAAAAACATATAAATGCTTTTCTTCAGATAGAGTGCCTTCTCTTAGATAGGGATCCAATATCCATTATCGATTACCTATGGTTGTGATTACGGTCCAGCAGAAGATGAAGCAATTGACAAAGTTCCATGACTTTTGGCCCGGATACCGTCGCAGTCCCAGCTCGGCCAGGTTATTGAGTTCATCCTCGAAAGTGCGCAGCTTGTGTCGCGCCAGAGACTTCCAGTCTTCCTCTCTGGCAAATAGATACACAAAATGGATCACCCTTATCAGTATCCTCAGGATTGACCGCATCCCTACCTCATATTATGGCTGACATCCCACAGTTTGTCGATGAAATCCCGCTTGACCTTGCGCACCTCGCACTTGTAGATGTTCTCCGCGGCTCCCTCCGTGTAGCGGAAGAGCAGGCCTCCGAATCCCAGTAGCATGGCCAGGCAGATCAGGTGGGCAATGCACTTGTTGCGCAGCTGACGCAGTTCCTCCATCCGCTGTGGGTAGTCCAGCTTGAGGCGCTTCCATTCATGCCGTGCCTCCAGGTGGAGGTGATACAGAAACGCCCGGGAGGTTAACTTCTCTGGTTGGTTTACAGTGGGTAAGTCTAGGGTATCTTCACTTTCAACCTTCTTCTTTCGACGGAAGAGGTTTTTCAAGCGTTGCAGGAGGGTTGCTTTGGGTTTGGATTCTGAGATGGCTTCAACTTCCGGTAAAATGGATGGTGATTCTATTGGTATAGATTCCTTTTCAGGTTCTATTTCTAACTCATTTTTGATAGTTTCTTCGGGTACTTTCAGTTCGATTGCCTTCCTCTCCAGACTGCCCGATCTCTTGGCCACCAGTGGTCGCTCCAAACTGGAACTGCGCTTCGCTGGCTTCTCCTCCTTGTCGGCCAACCTCAAGCTGTGACTGCGACGCACTCCCTCCGCCGTGAGGATTTGCTCCGCCAGGGCAGCCTCCGCCTTGGCCGCCCTCTCCGCGGCCTCCATGTACTTTTGCATCAGCTCCGACTGCTGTTCCGCTTCGGTGACTCGAGGTTTTATCGCCTCCTGGCTCCTGGACTCGCCCACCTCCACGTACTCGTGCTTCCGGCTGATCTGCTCCCGCTGCTCTGGGGTCTTGGAACGTCGTTGGGGTCGCACGGGCGACAGGGAGTTGTTGCGACTCACGGAAAGTCTTTCAGGGGGATTCGGATTGGGTTTAAGAGCTGCTTGAGGAGGCGGAGGAGGAGGAGCCCCTCGTATTGGGGCCGCCACAAAGCCCTGTGGAATCCTGGCTGTCCTTGGGTGCCTCGGGTTAATCTCCTCCACTGCCTCGGCATCGGAGGAACTAAACTGGGTGGAGGACTCCTCGTAGCCGCTACTCCTGTTCCGATTTCTGTTCTTGGGCGCCTCGTGCCGCTGCAGCCTCAGGCTGTGGATGAGCCGGCGTCGCTCCTCCTCGTCCTGCGGCAGCTGGATGCGATCGCTGAGCTTGCGGTAGCTCTGCAGGAGTCGCTTCCTTTCCTCGTTGTCCAGCTGCTGGCGATGGCGCTGCTTGTGCTCCCGCTTCTCGCGCTCGAAGAGACGCTTCTCGGCCTCGAAACGCCGCCGTTCGTCCTCGAAGCGCTGAAGGTTCTGCTCCAGGCGGCTCAGGGTGTCCTGTGTCTGGCCGAGATTGGCGGGTATGGGACGACGATGACTGCTACTGCCCGTGGTCAGCTCGCTCTCGCTGGACTCCTCCTTGTGGCGCGGCGAGGAGAGGCTGCGATGCTTGATGAGGTGGTTGGCATCCGGACTGCTCAGCTTCTCCGCCTCGCGGGGCTGCGACTGGCTGCGTGCCGAGGAGCTGGCGAAGCTCTTGTCCCGCTTCCGCAGGATCTTGCTCTCGTGGGCTGACAAAGTGCCGGGTGGTCGGATTTGCATGCGAATCATCTGAGGAGAGGGATCGGGAGGAAGGTGTTCCGGACTGGCATCGTCCTGGGGAAGGTCATCCTGTCCCGTGACTGGAGTGGGCTCCCTGTGGCTGCGTCCCAGGCGTCGCCGGTGGCGCTGCTGCTGCCTGGCGTCCACTGGCTGCTCCATCATCTCCTCCAGCCGCTGCCGTCGTGTGCTACTTTCGCGTTCTATCTTTGTGCTCGTGCTCATCTATTTTTATCTAGCGTTCATATTCCGCCTTTGAAAATATGCCTCTGGGTAATTATTATTATATCACTTTCGACTGCAGTATTGTATTTTCCTTGCCTATATTTTGCACTTGCTAGAAGTTGTAAAGTAATACACTTGCCACAGCATATAGATTAGTAATTTTCTATATTATTCATGTATTTCAGAACCACTTTTGCTTATAGGAATTTATGTATCTGCTTCTATAGACGTCGTAGCGCTCGACGCGATCTAATAAACTTGGCAGACTCGACCACGGCTGGCATCCAACTGCCGAGAGTGTGGAGAATATTCAAAATTTCAATTTCACTTGGGTTTTCTATATTTTTGGTACACATTCCAACAGCTGTTCGGCTATAGCTACATGTACAAATGTCAGAAAGTATCTCCTATATCAAATGCATCCGATGATCTGTGAGATGCTCTCTCATATTGTGCGAGTTTATTATTCTCATTCTCTAAATGACTAATAGGAATTTAGTGTTTGTGAAATGATTTAACCTTAAAAAGCTTTGTATGACGTACAGTGATCGCTCGAAAGAGTAAATTAACCAAATTGCTGGTTAATTAGTTTCCGAATACATTTTTAAAAAAATTTCAAATTCTTTTACACAGCTATGTATTTTACACAACGTTGACATGACGGGTATGTAGATAAGTGGTACTTTTTAACTAGCGGCTAAATCATACCCAGCCTTTAAGGAACAGCTAAACTGAACAAAACGAACCACATTAAACTTAGTTAATTAATAAATATTTAAGAAGTGTAATAAAACAATTAATTTCCTCATTGCATAACAATTTTAAAAAGACCGCCCAATAAGTCAAGTGAGACCATATAAATACCAAAACCACAGCTAGCCGTATATACTGAAACACATGGCTGCTGTTATCGATGTATCGATTTCGAAATTCAAATTTCGTCCGTCTCTAAATATTTTGGTTGATCGAAACGGCGCACGTGTTCTTGAGTTCAATATTTATAAATTAATATTTGAAAATGGGATTTGGTAATCGTGGCGGCGGTGGCGGAGGCGGAAGAGGATTTGGAGGCGGCGGTGGAGGACGAGGAGGCGGCGGCGGACGAGGTGGTGGCGGCCGAGGAGGTGGAGGCGGCTTCAGATCCAACGGCGGCGGTGGAGGATTCGGAAGAGGAGGCGGCGGCGGACGTGGAGGCGGCCGTGGAGCCTTCAATGATGGTAGGTTGATGGTACTTCTCAAAAACCCTAATAACTTAGCTTAACTTAGTGGTTTAAGAAGCTGGAATTTGCCCATAAACCGCATCGTTTAGCACATCATTTAGAAGAACTGAAAAAACCACGTTGTTTACTTATATTTAACCCAAGTTTCCTATAGAAATTATTGTCTATACGTATGTTTTCATGAGATCATTGTCACATCTATCTTCTAAAATATCCATATCTTACTTTCTGGCAAATTGCCAAGAATACCACAGTTACCTTATTAGTTTCCCCTATTTTTCTTACTTTCAGGACCCCCAGAGAGAGTTATCCCATTGGGTGACTTCTCCTACGCGTGCCAAAATGACCTCGTGTGCAAAGTTGGAATCCAGGATGTCCCATACTTCAACGCGCCCATATTCCTCGAGAACAAGGAACAAGTGGGCAAAATTGACGAGATCTTTGGAACCGTTCGGGATTACAGCGTGTCCATCAAACTGTCGGACAACGTGTATGCAAACAGTTTCAAACCCAACCAGACACTGTACATCGACCCCGGAAAGCTGTTACCAATCGCCAGATTTCTGCCCAAACCCCCGCAGCCGAAAGGAGCGAAGAAAGCCTTTACGCGCGGAGGAGGCGGCGGTGGCGGTGGAGGATTCGGTCGCGGTGGTGGCGGTCGTGGAGGAGGTAATATTATGAATTTCTTGTTTACCAAATAGACCATTAACCTTTCATGCTCAACAGGTGGTCGAGGAGGCGGCGGCGGACGAGGAGGTGGAGGCGGCGGATTCAGGGGCGGAAACCGCGGAGGTGGAGGCGGTGGCGGCGGCGGAGGATTCGGCCGAGGAAGGGGAGGAGGTGGTGGCGGCGGCGGTCGCGGTCGATGGTAGTTTTCAGTATCTGACCCGCACAAAAACATTTAAAGAAGTGTACAATCCAATTTGTGTACATGTCCAACTAGTTTGTAAGCACAGGATCATTTGGGTATTATTCGCTGACCTACCAATCGAATATTTTACCTTGAATGCTACTAAAATAAATTTCCTAAAAATGTAAACTCATGTTTTAGGTGAAAAAGGGGAATCGATCCAGGCAGTTTTACTTATAATAGAAGATTTGATAACAAAGTGAAAGTAATTATTTAATCAAAGTACTGAGAGAATATCAAAATAGCTAAAAATAAATGAATTACTACTGCCGCTCAGCTTAATCACAGCTCTGATTAAATTAAACGTCCAACGATTGGTAGATTCCAATGAATGTACGTGTTTATCAGTATTTGGATTCAAAACATGTATGGACCAAAAAGTAATCAACAATATGATGTCAAGAATTTTCTCGTTTATTGATAAAAGGAAGTGCCTAAGACCAAAAATAATAAGACACACGTATGTGATGACAATTTTAGGACTGAAAGAGCCAGAGATAAATCACTTATCTTAAGGAATACGATACACTCTGATATCGTTTCATTTCTAATATTTCTTTTGAATATTTTCGAGATTTTCGTTTATGTGTTAGAAACGTCTGATAAGTATAATGGCAGATTCATCACAAACACAACAATGAATGGGAAATAATTTATAGTCTATCGAATGATTTGTAAGATATTTGTGAGAAAAACTGATGACTGCGGAAGCACTTTCGTCTAGGTCTTAGGGAATTATAAAGTATCAGATTTATGCCAGCATCACACTCATCCGAATTCCCTTGAAATTTTATGAATTCTTCGAGGTTTGTTTAAAATCCCCAATATTGTTTGGTATGGGGGTTTCCTTCCGCTCTTCACTGGCTGTTCGATTCGTGCATATAATATCTTAGATTTGCAGCTGTTTTCAAAATGAAATTATTGGAATTATATTTGCCAAAAATTTAAAATAATTGGTTTTGACCTCTCGTATGTTATCTTTATCCCCTCTGACGTCATGGTTGCCATATAGAGAATTTCTCCACTTCCAAATTTCATATAAATTAAATGTTTTGCTAAATTTTCATCAGATACTTTCCGGAGCCCCTTTAAATCTTCCAGCCCCTCCAACTGTCGGATGGTCTATGTGGCTTCCTTCTCTTTCTCCTCTGAAAAGTTGATGACGGATCGTATTCGCTTTTATGGAATTTGGCTGCGATTTTGTGTTTGTTTATTCCTCGCAATTTCATTCAACATTTCCGAATTGCCTTCGCGATTTGTTTTCCATTTGGGCATGCACCATTTTAATAAAATCGCCCGTAGAATTGTTATACTAAGTAGTATTTTAATCGCGGCAGCAACAGTTTTATGATGGCTAACAAATATTGATTTTGCTGGGGTATTATAAAGTGTTTTCCGGTTTATTGATCCGTTGGATATTGTGTTTACTGGCACAAATCAATAAAGATTGTAAAATCCTTAAAATTATAGGGGTCATAAACAAGACAATTTATTTGAATATTTCACTGTGTCATGGGCAATTGTGTAATATTTTTATGACAGATTGGGACTAAAAATAAGTACATACTAAATATAGTAGCCATTGAGTTTTTCAAGTGAGTCATGCAACCGCAGCTATAGACTCTCGATTTCAAATTAAGTACCCGATCATAAAGGCACTACTCTTCAGACTTATGTTTTGTTTATACTTGTGCCAATTTTGACAAGTTGATTATATGGACTGCACTCACAGAGAACCATTTGCAATTCTGTTTACAAGGCACCCGTTTGAGTAGAAAATTCTGTCGTCGTTTTGCGGCAATAATTTGGCAATTTGTGTTAATTGCTTTTGTGCTCAGATGTGGGTGCAAAGTTTTCCATTTCCACACTTGCGGATTTATTTGAATTTCATTTTTTTCGCCTCTTGGAAACTTGTCAAAAGAGGCGACGAATGGAAAGATTTTATTTACCATTTTCCATTTCCCATTTATCTTACTTTAAGTAAAACGATGTGTTTTGCCCGTAAAACTCAGAAACAAATCCAAAACGCAAGTCAATCGAATTAAAGGGGCTATCAAACCATTAACTAACCTCACAATTTGAAACATAATTTCCCTGAATCAGAACAATCATTCAAAATATGAATCCACTGCACAGATTTGTTCGGTCGAAATCATTTCCATTTTCATGGCATGTTTATGAGCGAGAAAAGTCTTTTGCAAATTAAAAGTGAAATTAAAAACAAATTTGATTCAGAGTGTGTAAGGCGAAAATTCGGGGAAATTCTTTTAAAAGGTGAAAGGGTGTTTCGCAGTTTATTTATAAGTCTCAATTATGAAGAGTGACAGTATTCCAAAGAATTTCACAGCCTCTTGAGATCTTGAGATCTCATAAACCGTGTCTGCACCAGAAGAGACACAAATTTTTTATCTCGCAAATGTCGACGATCGCCAAAAAATCCGAAACTATTTCCATCTTTTGTGTCACATATTTCGTTGGCTTTAATGAAGAAGAATAAACATAAATAGACCATCTTGCGTCCCAAGAAAACATTCATATATCTTATCGGCGTGGGCGTCTTTGCACTGCCAATACACTTGGTTGTTACAGAGAAAATTGGATATGATATAGGGGTAAATTCTAGCTTATTTCATATCAATAAAAATGTATAATTCACACATATCAATTAGATATTTTATCTTATGAGTTATCTAATACAAATTAAATTGGAAACTACTTTGAAATACCAAAAAAAGGAATATTTGGAGATCCACTCACCTATTGTCGTGTAAATGGTGGCCGAGTAGACCATGGCGTTCCAGAAGGTCCATGGATTAGGCACATCTTCCATTTTGGATCTCATTAGAGAATCGATCACTGGCGAATATCTGTTGAGTATTTCGTTCATCGGACCGACAAATGTTGTTGAATTGTACTGAAATTACCAAAAAATTATAGATTATCTTGGCATCGAGTTTAATATATTTAATAATCTTACATCGCTTGCTTGTTTATTGTGGAACATCTTACACATTTCTCCGAAGAATCTTAACCGCTGATCATGGAGCTCAATGTTTTGTGCCTTTATCCCAATGTCTGGAGAAGGAGGGGAAAGTGGGGTAGGATTAGATTTATCCTTTTAAACAAGTGAAATTGGGAATTGGAAGGAGTTGTAGAGGGTTAGGGTAAGCTTCAAGTAGTAAACCAAAGGAATTTGGTTCTCAAATAAGAAACATTAGCAGGTGGCTGTATTGAGAATGAAATTTTAGCTTCATACTCTTTGAATACCAAATTTCCTTTTACTTTTCACCCGTATGAAATGTTTCGAAGTTTCCTTTTATTATAATGAGACTCCTCCATCCGCTCGTTAATCATCTGCAACTGGAAGTCTGTCTTGGTTGTTTATATTCAAACATGATTCATACATATGGCTACATATATACCTATGGGATTCGAGTACTCGGATACTGAATCAGTCTGCCAAATTGATGGGGCATGTTTTTACGATTACAGCAGGTGTATTTATTTGAATGAGAACTGCCTGGGAACTGAACTGTTTACTATTTTCCAAACAATTGCCGAAGAGCTTGATAAGCAAACAAAAATGGGTGCTGCACTTTTGCGTCCGGATGTCTTTTCTTTACTTTTTGGGGGGTGGTTTGTTTACCTAACGAACTTCTAGTGATAAAGACTGAATCTCCAGAAACCCACCTTCGAAGGTCTTGAACAGGAGTGCTCCACCCACGTTGTAGAGGGCCAGGATGATCAGCAGGAAGATGTGGGTGAACCACCGGCGCGACCAGGTGCTCAGCTTGTTGTACATCCCGAAGGTGAACTTCTCGCCGAAGCTCATGCCCGACTTGGTGAGGTCGAGGAAGCCCTCGTAGCCCTTGGTCATGAAGTTGCCGGATCCGAAGGGATTGGCCACCGGTGGCCAGTAGGGTCCCTGCGTTCCATTCCCCGTGAAGTTCGTTTGGGCCGTGTAAGGTGGTTGGGCACTGGGTGGCATGGATGCCTGGCTCATCGCCGATCCGCTGGTCAAATTGTGGATATTGATCCTGGGCGGTCGGTTGGCCCTTCGAGAAGGAGGCGGAGTGCTCGGGATGGGCGTTACACTTTGGGACATGGTTGAAGATTTGGGATAACTGCAGAATATCTGTGACTCTTTTTATCTTTAATTTTTGACCACGAAACCCCAAAACACTGGACACTTTATCGTCATTACTCGAGTTCCATTCACATATATATTATATCTTTGTACTTATATATTTGTATTATTTTTAAGTTTATAAGTAGAAATGCCGTCGCGATTCCAAGGCGCCGCGTATTTATTTCTCCGCGTTATTCTCTGGCTGCCTTTTGCCCACTTCCGACCGCCTCGTTCTTGGATCCAATGCGAACTGAACGGAACAGAAGCAAAATATTTTGGCCAACATCGGTGCCGTTGTCGCTGTCGCTATAGGAATGCTATAGTATTTGTATCGGCCACGAATCTCCGAAGCTGCCGACTATGACGACATCGACAGTTCATGAGCTCACGGGAATAATTCACGGAACCCCAACTGATCTCAGCGTACAAGCTGATTATTTTATAATTATTTGTTGGGTTCCGGAGAACTTCTCAAATCCAGTTTTGTTCCGATTAACGCGTAGTTCTCTTATCTCAAATATTTTGTTATATTGTTATTTATAAATATGTTTCCTCATTTGCTTTGGATGGCACTAATGAATTAGGCATTTTCCCTCGCATAATTTATTAGTATTTACCATTTTCTCGGGCGCTTAATAATTTGCATAAAATTAAGACAACGGACGGTGACGGTGTGTTAGTCATTCATGTCCGGCAGTCATTTACCTCTTCGGTGAGCTGTGTCTAATAGTCATTTGGCTTGCACACAAATGGTGAAGCACTTTCTAGGAAATACGTAAATAATAGAGAAGATCTTCTCATCAATTAAGATGAAATTTGAATTATTTAAATTGCAATCATTTGAACGAAACTTTTAGACAAATGTTTAAATTATTTCTATCGTTTTATATATGTTTACTATGCCAATAACAATGCATAATTTTTGTTCACTGTAGAAGGCAGTACAAGTAGTGATGAATCAAACAGATCGAAACGACTGATACTCCGATCAAAAATCATTTTATTTGTTTTTTGAAGTGTGATACTAATAATTTTGAATTATAATGATGCCAAATACAAAATATTCTTCGTTTTTTTCCAGTAATTCTAAAATAGAGGCCCAGAAAAAGATCCAACTGTTTTTCCAGCTTACAAGATACGCAACATCAGAATATCAGAAAATCATTTGAACTCTTTTATTTCGAAGGTGCGAGCGTAAGATGGGGTTTTCCCTGGTCCAACGGATGTTATTGTTTGACTATGTTATAGATTCAGAGATATTCCGCTAAAAACCTCTTTTTTAAGAAATTAAATTAAATTATTATGTAATCAAATTAAAGGCGTACCTCTGATTTAAAATAAAGTTAAGATTATACAGTAGATTTTGTTCATTTTATGCTCTAAAAGATTAAAAGGTTTTAGAGTTGGAAGAGCTGGAATCCCTTTTAGCTCTATTTAAAAATATATAAGGTTTTGGCCACAAAATTGGTAAAATTTATATTTAAAACCTTCGAACCTTTTTCATTTCGAAATTTTGAAATGAAGATTATCGATACTTCCGCTTGAATACGGTCACTCTAGAAAGCAGTGTTGCAAAGCGCACGAGGGTGTTCTAATTGCTGCGCTTAATAAATTAAAAAATAGAAAATGGAAGAAAACGAGACCCGGACGGAGGCCAGGGAGCCCACGGACCTGTCCAATGGTAAGAGAGCCGTACAGGACGCCAGGACAGCATCCTATATTAACCCAAAACCCCATTGGCAGGCGAGGATGACCAGGGGAGCACCGAGCACAAATTCAGTCACCTGCAGAATGAGATGCGCAAAATGCAGAATGAATTCAACACGCAGCGGGCGAAGATGCGGGAGCTTTACATGCAGAAGGAGGCGGAGGTGGGGCAGAGCCAGCTGGAGCGACGCCAACTCCAGACGGAACTGGACGAGCTGAAGACCAAGTGCGTGGTGGCGGACTTGAAGGCTCAGAACGAACTGCAGCTAAAGGACATCAAGGCGCAGGAGGAGATCTCCTCGCTCCAACAGCTGGTGCAGGACACCATCGAGGAGTCCGCCCACTACAAAGGCGAGCTGGAGCACCTGCGTCTGGAGATGGCCAAGTACCAGCAGTTGCAGTCGACGACGGCTCCTCCATTACAAGCGGAATCATCCGTAGGAATAGCTCCCCAGGTGCTGAATCAGGTCAAAAAGACGCTGGGCTCCGTGCGCAAGCTGGGCACGGATTCCCTAAACAGCAGTTTTCAGCTGGAGGACGACAGCCGGGCTTCGTCCAAGGGCAATGGCAAGCAATTCGTAAGCAATCCCGCAGCTAATCCTCCACTGAGCTAACCAACAATCCACTTTACAGGCTGCCGAGGAGGCGGAAATGATGCACTCCATCGTCGAGCAGCTGCAGGAAGAGATGAAGGCCCTGAAGGTGAAGCTGCGCGAACAGGACGACCAACTGCAGGCCAAGTCGGCAACCGAGGAATCCGCCCTGCACAAATCCACCTCCATGGACGTGGCCGAGGGCGCCTGTGAGTCCTGCAGCTCGGCGGAGAAGCGGGCCGACGAGCTGAACGCCCACATAGGCAAGCAACAGAAGCAGGTGGATCTGCTGCAGAAGCAATTGGTGGAATCCCGGGAGACCCTGGCCAAGGAGGCGGCGCTGCGCAAGGATCTGGAGGACCAGTGGCAGGAGAAGCGGGAGGCCCACAAGAGCGAAGTACAAAGCCTGCGGGACCAGGCCAAAACCAACGAGCAGCGCCTGCTGGACATGCAGCAGAAGTTTCTCGAGACCAAGGACGAGGTGATAAAGCAGATCCAGCGCGTCACCGACGACCGGGAGCGGGTCAACAAGCAGCTGGAGACGCTGCAGGCCGACAACGACTTCCTCTCCGGTCGGTATCTGGCCACCTCCGAGGAGATCGACAACCAGTACATCAACCTGCCCAACACGGTCGTCGAATTACACGAACTAATGCTCCGCCAGCAGAGCGAACTGATCCAGGCACGCGTGAGCAGCGAGTACGAGCGGCAGAAGTGCACCAGCACCGAGGATGAGATTCAGATCTTGCGGGCCCAGCTGGAGGAGAGCAACAACGAGCGGCGGGCCTACAAGCGCAAGATGCAACTAGATATTAAGTCGCTGCAGTGAGTTCTCTTCTGCTATTTGAAGTGTGTTTATTTCTCATGTTCGAAACTGTATTTCCAGGGACCGGGTGACGGAGCACTTGGTCACGGTGCAGGCGCACGAGACGACCAAAACGCAACTCGAGCGCAAAGAGGCTGAGCTCAACAAGCAGCTGTCGGAGTGTCGCGTGGAGATCATTGAACTGCAGGAGGCCAATGTAAGTGGAGACCTTTAGTTATCCAAGTAGAATCGCCACCAAATAGATCCCCTTTTTGCAGGAGAAGTACGCCAAGACAAACGCGGACTACAAGACGAAGATAAAAACGCTGCAGGAGGAACTGTCCACCATGGAGACGGTTCAGAAGGACTTTGTCAAACTATCTCAAACTCTGCAGGTGAGTCCGATATAAAAATATGTGGTTTATTCACTTAAATGTCTACATTATTATTACAACAGATGTCGCTGGAGGAGCTGCGGCATGCCGACACGGAGGTGCGCTGGCAGGACGACGACGACGTAAACAACTGCCCCACGTGCAACGCCTACTTCACGGTCATGGTGCGCAAGATCCATTGCCGGCACTGCGGCCACATCTACTGCGACAAGTGTCTCACGAAAACGGTGCCATCGGGTCCGCGGAAGCGGGTGACCCGCGTCTGTGATATCTGTCACACGCTGCTCACGCCAAACACCGCTCCCTACTTCAGTCAGGGACAGCCGCCGCAGCAGCAGCAGGGTCAGCAGCAGTCCAACTAGGGGCTCCAAGCTCCAGGTTATTGTGTGTATTATGTGTGAACTACGATTACGATTAGTTGGTATCTCCTTAAACTCTATTGCTCTTGTTCTGTGTGCTCCGATTTCTAACGATTACGATTCGAGGTCAAACCTTTCGCCAGTCATTTCCACTTTCCATTTGCCCATGTCTCTTTTCGATTTGTGCTCTATATATATAACGTAAGCGATGAGTTGTCTATGTTAGCTTTTGTCGTAGGTAAGTTTTCATAATTGAATTGAACTCAAAGCAAATATACAAATAAAAAACAAGTAATGTTTGTTGTTTGTCGTGGCCGCACATCTTGGTTTTTACTTAAACCAACTTTGCCTGCAAAAGAGGGGTAGCAATTAAGTAAAACTTGTGTTTTACTAAGTAACAAAGACATGCAACAGATATTTTGTGTTCTTTTGTTTATTTAAAGATACTAAATAGCTTTGTAAATTATTGTTAACAATTGTATTTGTGTCTTCATTTGGTTGCGAGGAGCTAGGATTGGTATAGTTATTCGCTAGATATTAAAAGTAACAACAATGTCGGGCATGCCCATATAAATTCAGTATGTACAACTCTCACTTCAACTACCAAATAATGATAATCTAATACTGCAATCTCCGCATTCAACGAAAAACGTAAACAACTACAGACTACAGACACTACACACAGTCGGGGAATCACGTTACTTGGGAGGCAATTACGGGTTGTTTTGGCACACAGAGTGTCTGCGGAAGAGATAGAGAAATTAGAGGCCAATTAGCCTGTCTCCGGCGAAAGATTGCGATCTGATTTCCCTTACCTCACCATAGAAAGCGACCTGCTATCAGGGCAACAATGGTCACAGCTGCCACGCCCACGACGCCCATCACACGGGTAGCTAAATGGGGAGAAATGAATACTCAAATCAGTATATTATAGGGATGGTTAGACTAAAAGCATAGGAAACTGATAGCTTAGAATTTTTACAGGTTAGTAAGATCAGTTTCCTGGAAGCTTGCATGCTAGATAAGCCAGGATGTGGTTAGGTTTTCATAGCCGGTAAAATGTCTATAAGGAGGAATCGTATTTTAAGGACAAATACCATGGATCAGTCTGTTATGGGTGGTGTGTTCTGGTTCTGTGCTGGGTGTGGTTACACTAAACATGGCCTTGACATTCACAAACACAAATCAACCAAATATAATGACCCAATTGGACACTTACTCGTGAATCCTCAACTTGATCGCGATGCTCGGTGCCTGGACTTTGAGACATTGAGAATGTACTATATTTTTGCTTGAAATTTGGACAGATCACACGAATGTGCGAACGTGGAACAATGGACAACAGACAGTACTGAGATGATCCGGATTCCTGGCGGTGCTGTGACTGTGGTGCTGTTTTTCGTGGTGCTTGGCTTTCGGGATTTCGATTTCGATTTCGATGGTTCGCGGTACAGATATATAGGTTATAGACAGCGGCTTTTGAAGGTTTTCAGATGTTGCGGAGATAGAGAGCATTTCTTAGCCTAAGGATGAGCAGTTGATGAGCAGCGCTGCTGGATGGATGCTTATATAATGTACAGATATCTAAATACAATTTTTTTCGAGAAAAAGCTTTGGCTTTGAGCCTGTGATGATGATGGTGATGATGTTGAGATGATGGATAGCGTTCTGGCCTGGCTGCAGATTTGTTCAGATTCATTCTACTGCGGCTCTTCACCTGCTGCTCCGCCTCCACCGGCCGAACCGGTTGAAATATCACGCCCGTGCTTGCTCAACCACTCGATGATCACGCCGTTGGACCAACCGAATCCCAACTGCACCTCGTACTCGCCTCCGCCGCCTCCGACTCCAAACTGATCGGCGTTGTACTGGAATATATAAATCATGTTCTTTAATTTGTGTGTTTAAAAAAAATAAATCCAAAACAATTTTTGAATTTTTATGGTATTTTATATTATATTTGTTTAATAGTAATGTAATCCAAACTCACCTTCTCGTACATGTGCCTGTCTTTGCTAAAGGCCTTGAAGTTTGACTTCACCCACTTGGTGGCCCACTTTATGGACATGTTCTTGGCCTCGGGAGTATTCAGGTTGTTCAGGCCCTCGACCAGGATGTACTGCATTGGAGCCCACACATTCGGAGCATCCCACTGCTCATTGGTGTAGCTCAGGGTATTGGGGACTCCGCCGGGGAATGTGTCCAGCTTGTTCTTCTCAATGTAGGCCATAATCGAGGCCGAGATTTTCTCGGACTCGGAAATGTTGAAGGCTTTCACCCACAGCGGCGAGAGATTGGTGGGCACAAAGTAATCGCGCGACTTCTCGTTCTTCATGTCGTAGTCCAGCCAGACTCCGGCCTCCTCGTTCCACAGCACTTCTTGGATGCCCTGTAATGTGGGGAGGTTTATAAAATTTAAATAAGTTGCTTTTAAAAATTAATCTCCATTACTAAAAATATGCGAAAGACTATAACCACTTATTACATTAGGGTCTCCCAAAAATATCATCTTATTCTCACCCTAAAGAACTTTAAAATGCAACAAATCCATTAAAAAACTAAAAAAAAATGTAAAGGTCCCCTTAAAAATTGATATATGATAATTAGATTTTCTGTCAACAGTGCGTATGAGTGTTAAACTTTGAAGCCAATTAGTCGCTTTAACATACTGTTAATCTTCTGTTAAAAGTTAACTTCTGTTAAACAATTAAAAATTAATCCTTTGAAATGATTATATATATTCTAGACATGCCTTAAAAAATTATGTTCTCCTGTTAGAAAATCCTGTCTGACCCTTTTAAGTAGGCAACTTAATTTAAGGACCGGAACCCTAGAGGTTTTCCCATCTAAATCTAAGATTTAATATATCTTACCAGCAGGATATTCTCGGCCTTGGTCTCGTACTCGGTGACCTTCTTGGTGTTGCCAGCCTTGGAGTGGAATTCGGCTATCAACTTGGCGTTCCAGTAGAGATAGGCATTCAGGTCGACGGGTACAATCAGGCTGGTGCTGAGATTGGTAAGAGTTCCATCGTTTGTGCCATCCTCGGAGATGAACCAGCGGGAGCTGAAGTCCATGCCCGACTCGGCCGCCGCCTTGAGCTCACTCCAGTGGAGTTCCCTCTCCGCATCGGTGGCGAACTCATTGCCCGTCTCCACATCCTCTCTATAAGACTCTGGCCGGGGACCCTCGGAAGAGTCGCGGTAAACGCAAAGGCTGTGATTCTTCACCGTGACATTGTGGTTGTTCGTGAAGTACTCGAACTCGTGCTCCAGTGTTGCCAAGGCATCGATGGCGAACTTGTCATCGTTGGTGAAGTCCACATAGGACTTGACCATTCCGGTCAAAAGTGGCGGCTGGGAGCGACCATGGTAGTAGACGCGTCCTCCGTTCGGAATAAAGCCGAACCGATCCACAATCGACAGGAAGTTCTCGATCATTCCTCGGGCGGTGGTGTACATCTGGCTGTAGAGCAGTCCCCGGATGATCCAGTACGAGTCCCAGTAGTAGAACTCGATGAAGCGGCCGCCGGGAATGATCACGGGATTGGGCACGGGGATGATCGAGTAGTACTCCGGGTTCTTCGACACCTCGTCCTTCATTTTGCGACCCAGGGTCTTCCAAATGTTATTCAGCTCGGCACCCCACTGCTTTAGGTCGGGATCGGAGATTAGATCGAGAAAACTGGGATTCTCCTTCCAATCCGTGGGCGTCCACAGCTCCAGTTCGGTGCCCTTGGGACTGAAGTATTCCTGAAAATTATAATCAAGTTGTGAAGTTCCTGATTGTAGACCTAGGGATGATCCTATTCCACTTACATCCACAAAACCCTTGAGATCTTCGCTAGTGGGCGTTTGGTTTTTGGCCTCCATGAAAGCATTAAAATCCGCCAGGGTTTTGTCAGGCGAATTCTTCAGTTTCATGTCCACAAACGTCTTGGAATCAGCAAACAGTTTGGGTGTCGCCGTTTGGATGGTGTGCAATAGGGGGCCATTGCAATAGATTTCACTGGAAAATGGGAAAATATTTATATTCAGCATTTCTGATTTTTTTATACTGGGTTTTCACTATCACTTTAATGGAATATATTTAAATAATCACTTTATTCTAGTTTATTACACTAATTCAAGGAATTAAAAAACCATTGGGCAAAATGGAAATTATACTTTAGGAACTTGAAATTAAAAAGAAATTATAAACATATCATATCATTGTTGTTTTTCTTTTAGAATTAATTTGTTTTATTTTACGTTTGCTTAGCCTGTGCCGAAAAATCCCGGATGAGGCTTACGTAAGCCCGAGCATAAAAATCGTTCGTTAGTATAGCATATAGTATAGCACACTCTCTGACGGCACTAATTAGTGCAAATAATTCACGGGTTAAATGGATATAAAACCGCTCCAGCCCGAGTATCCAGGTGGTGCTGGTTAAGTGAACACCTGTCTAAGGCATCGATGAATCGTATCTGTTGATCAGATACGACCAAAGCTAATGCACGAATAACCAACACGTCACGTTTATGGGTTTATATGGTTTATATGGCACTGGGAAAGGAAAGCACTCAAGCTGAAAACTTGTGAATATCTCAACCCGGCAATCAGAGAGATCAGAGTCCGGAAGTCTTCGGGGTTCGGTGATTGGAAAACTTACCAACTGGGGAACTTTTCATCGGCATCCTCTACGTAACTGGCAATGCCATTATTATTGTCTGTGCTGAGATCAAAGGCGAAGGACTTTGCCTGGACGAGAGCTGCCAGGCAACTCCAGCTCACAAGGAGCAAACTGATAGCGGATAACCGGGACATCCTTATTCACTTACTCCCGGGTAATGGGTAATAATTTTTCAAACTGCGAGGTAATAAAACAAAATGTTGCGTTGCTGAGGATATGCTTGTGATCCCTGAATCTCTGAGTTCTGAGTTTTGAATTCCGAATTCGAGCTGAACCCACAAGCACAACCAGCGCCAGTCAGCGCAAGAATACTTCTAACTGTTCCGCTCGATTCCATTTTTATAAAACTAAATTAATCTACGAATGCGACGACGCCGAGCGATCGGCAAAACGAACGATTCGTCGGGCGGGGCAAGGTGATATCTGGAGTCAAGTAATTGGGGATCCAATGGGGAGGGAGTGGGGTGGTTTGCTGGCTTGGGGGCGCGTTCGGTCTATTTTTAAATCGTCAAAGTGGCCACATACGTATTGGTCGGGTTCACCTGCTTACAAGTCTCGTGAACGAATAGTCATTCATCTCTCACTGGATCGGCTTCGTATCTCTGTTCTAGCTGCCTTGGGTAATTAGTGGCAAAGGGCCTTCGATTGGGTTTTTGGCACACCCATATGATTAACTAGCTTATGAATATTCATATTCCAAGCCTTGAAATATATACTTATATTCATAACTATATCACTTATTAAAAGGCACCCGCATTATTCGAGGGATCATTGCCTGAATATACACTTTAATTGTTCGGTTTGAGAAGGTCCCACTGTAATGCCAAGGTACTATTTCTGATAACCGACATTTTTGGGGATTTTAGGCCTAGTTTTAATGCTAATTGGCAATGCTCCACTTATGATAAGGACTGTGCTAAATTCAACTAGCCAATTATCCAGAAATTTAATGACTTTAGCCCCTGATATCTCACTGATTTGCATTTGAACACGGAATTTTCAGATATGAGGCTGACATTCGCCCGCGATTTATTTATATCCATCAAGTTACAGTTTATCATACATTTTCAAGTCTATAATTAGAGTGGGTTGTGTGTTAGTGACACGTGTGTGGCCCCAAATAATAATGGACCGGAATTGCGCCGTTTCGTTTCGCACAAATGTCAGCTATATGTGGTGTGGACCTAACGAGCCTTAATTGAACTGATTTGCTGAATAAGGATTGCTTTCGAGAGATTAACGAATGGATATATACGCCATCGAGATGAAAGTTTAAGGCGCAGAAAGTTACTTTAAGTTCTTTCACTAAGGAAAACTATAAGTAAACAAACAGTTTAAGCGGTACATTGCACAACATCATATGCATCTTATAGAACATCAAGTGTATAATGAATTACTTGTATCGGGTATCATCACAGAGCGATGTGATATAACATCTATGGCTCGGGAAACAAAGGGAATCCAAATAAACGGAACAATTGTGCAATTTAAATTGAGCCTTAGGGGAATGAGAACCAGAAAGAGAACGATTCCCCCCGAGAATCCCATTGTTATGATCTTTCTGTGACGACAGCAGCTAGCAGGTGCGACTAAATCATTGATTTCTCACGTCACAAGCTGTTAACATTTTATGATTCCATTAGCGAAGCGATTCAGCATTTAAAAGTTAAACTAATAGATCATATCATGTCATATTTCCGCTCTGCTAAAACTCAACGTACTAAGTAAATATTGAATTTACTGGGTTTTCAGAGACCATATTTCATATAACCGTGGATGACAAACCGCTGATCTACGTGCCAAGCATTTCCAAATATGTAGTTAGCTATTGAATTGAAAATATTTTTGTTTCTTGCTTGCTTTAAATTCCCCCGTCAGGGGACTTCCGATTCCGCATATCAGACAATTCCGACTTAAATTCCATTTAAATCATAAAAATGCAACGAGAGACCCCCAAAGATGATATCAGAATTATGGAATAACTATTGTTTAACAGGCATTTTAAGGCGCGTGAACGAAATAATTAAGCCTAATGAATGGCCGTTCACCATTCAACTGGGTTATTATGCTTGCCAGTGACTTTATAAACCGTTTATATAGATCTTTGTTATATAGATCGTCATTGTCGTCATCGGTGGAAGCGATAAGTGCCTCAGGTGACGTCTTTGTGCGAATACAATGGTCCGAAACTCTCTCGATTCCGATCCATGAACTCCGCTCGAAAGCTCAGAACTTTGCCAAAAACATTCAAGGACAATATTAATCATTATGTGGGGCATTCAACGCGTTCGGATAATTGCCGTTTAAGTTAATCGCTCAACTAGCTATTTTAAAGCACGGTCCGTTTGATGGCTAAGCCGAATATTTCAAATCCAAATACCTGATCGATCCGAGAGGAAAACGAAGAAACACACACAAAAACTGGAAATGTCATTAAGAAGCCTGCATCAGGCTGAATTAACTTGTTTTAGATTCCGTGCGTTTTGCTTTGATTAACGGTTCAAATACCGATACAGAGACCTTCGAAAGGTTATTGAATCGCAAAAAGGTTTACAGTTAGCTGCAAAAAAGCTTTGTATAAAATTATTTTTCAATCCGAATCTTAATTAAATAAGAACTTTTTGACCTAGTAACATAAAATTCCACTTGAGATCATTAATCTGCTATCTTGAGTGGACAATAAAGGTTTATCGATTGCTCATAAGATCCAAGGAATTGAACCTAATCTTGAGATTATTCGTTATCGGAAGAATTGTTTATTGCATTAGTGTTCAAAATAGATCTTGAAGTAATCCTTTGAAGAATTTACTCTTGAAATACTGCGACATTCCAGGTTCTTTATCACCTGCAAGCTCTTCAGAACCTTTTTACTCTATATAAATACTTTACTGCAACCAAACTTGTTTTTGGACAAGTTCAGGGATACTGATAAATGGCTGATTACTTTTCTAAAGTCAGAAGCTTCAAGTACAATCAAGGAAAAATACAAAACAATTGATATAGAAATCGATATCGATAAGACTGAACAGGTTTAGCAGCAGCAAGTACATCTTCCAGTCTGTCTGGATCAGCTTTTTTTCGATTCATATTATTTATTAATTATAATGAGATATAATTAATGTTTTAAGTCAAAACGTAGATTTGGCAGTGGCAAAACGAGACTCGAAAAAATACAACTAGACAAGCATTTATATTGTATTCAGTGGAAGATCTGTCATTTAAATGTTAAGTACCCGGGGACCACAGATCACTGACACCGCAAGTCGGTGAGTAAAAATAACGCGACTCGGCGTTTGCAACACGATTAAGCTCAGGGAAAATATCAGCAGATATCAGGGAAAATGTCAGGCAACCACAACAATTGGTATTGAAAATTATAATTTAATTGCTTTTGTATATTCAGCTCGCGGTTTCTGCTTTTTTCAGAGGTATGGGAGTCCCATGCCAATTTAAATTCACTAAATTACAATTGTTTTTAATATTTTTTCATTTTCAAATTAAGTTCCAGTTTGTTTTCGCATTTCACACACTTTTATTATTGCCAATTCGCTGAGCTGAGTACGAGTTTTTATAACTCGCTCGCTATCTATATTGTGCAGCTGATTACTGTATATAGTGCCCGGATTATATACACTCTCGGTTCTAATGAAAAACGGTGCTCGCCGATGTTAAGCGTTTGAAGGCAACGATCCGACTGCCCCAAGCCAAGTGCCGGAGATTTAAATTTAAATCAGATTTTTGCAAAGATCTGATCAGAACAGAGTTACCAAGTATTCCTATTGGAAGAAGGGAAGAAAGAAGCTATCTTAGCTGATAATTTCTTTAGTTGCAAGTGCTAGTAAATAATATTTATTGATGCGTAAATAATATTTATTGATTGAACTGTCAGTAGAATGGAATTATGCAATTGGTAAAGCTTGGTTTGCATTATTTGTAATGTTATGGAATTTTTTTGTATTATTTGGCAAGGCAAGGAAATCGTAAATACTTTAACCCCGATTTCCTTGAGCTCTCTTCGAAAATCTTAAAAATATTCCGATAAGATAGAATCGCACTGAAATGAATTGACGTGGTATTTAAGACCCTCTTACTTATCTCTAAATTATGATCGCTCGCCTAAACGAATATAAATCATGTTAGATTTGGCAAAAGATTATTCATTAATAAGATAGGCAGGAAATTGGCTCTTTAGGGTAGAACTAATCACAAATTTGCTATCTTCTTGAAAACAGATTTTTTAAAATTTATATTTGATAAGTAAATACCGGTTCTCAAAACATTATTAAGATTTTAAATTGTGATTTGCATGGAAAGTACTTAAATTATACCTATTATAACTATGTATTTCATCATTTAACAAAGTAATGTAATTTCATTGATCAGGATTTTCCATTTTTAATTTATAAATTTCATTTAAAACAAATGACTTGTTTTGTTACTCAACAGGATTTAAGCAAATCAATTTACGCATAAAGCGAGTTTCTTTAGGAATTGACTATGGCAACTATCTGTAACTTTATTACTAAGTTAGAGTGACTAAAACTGCGGTTTTTAAAAATATTTCAAATAAAATATTGACAGCATTACGAGTGTGAGTAATCAACATTAAATATTTTTGAAAGAACAAACATTTACTAATCCCATTTTGTAAAAAAGTGTAATTTGCATTTGCATTTTCTATTCAAGAGAAGAGCAACTGATTTCGTGCAATTTGCAATTGGGGTTATTCAAGATCAGGCGACTCATATATGTAACTCTTTGTCTCTCGACAGAGAACGTGCTCCAGGCATCCAGGCCCTTTAATCAGTTTCAGACAAACTTGCCTCACCTGAGCCTTCGATGATTGGTGCATTTCTTTATCGCAAACAGATTTACTTGCTTCCCAAAACAATGGAGACCCTGGAGGTGAGGAAATCGGGACAGACACTTGATGATATGCATGACAAGCTGCGAATATAGTGAGTTCGGAATATAGACTGTACTACAGGGGATCTTTCTCAAAGTGATGCCTTGTCAGACTGTCTGTTATTGTCTCAGCTGATAAGAAAAGTGGCTGATAGTGGATTAATTAGGGTTTTGGCTGGACTCACATATTCTGGGGAGAACTCTGGGAGAGATCTGTAAACGTGACTGTGACAGCTGGTTGCAATTAGATCGTAACGGGCTAACCTGTTCCATATTACGTATACGCCGTGGACACACCACCAACCTACAACGCTAAACGGAGAACTAAGTATCCATAATGATCTGATCTGAGTTCGTGACAAACAACAACTGGTAACATATATTAAGTAATTCCCAATTACTTTGGTTTGT